ACGACGCCATTTCCGGCAGTCCCTCGGAAAAAAGGTGCATCCGCGTTGTCGGCAGAACTTCTTTCAGGATCATCTCAAATAAAAATTAAAAATAGGTGTTTCAGTAAAGGCAATAAACTAGGTATTGGGCGAAGGAAAACAAAAAAATGAAAATTGAATTTTTGGCAGACGTTTTTATAAAAAATGCAAATTGCGATGAAAATTTCTCGAAACTTTTTTTAAATAGTTGTAATTACCTTGTAACCTTGTAAATGATATCTCGAAGACCTGTGTAAAATTTCATTAAGATCGGTTAAGTAGTTCGCGTGAAATATTGACAACCGACTATGAAAACATAGTTTTGAGAAAAACGCGTTTAAAGTTTTACCTAGTGCACCCTCAGCCTATACCCGACCTCGAGCGTCCACCTTTTCTAGGTTGTATCTCCGAAACTATTAGTCGGATCAACTTGACAATTTAGGACAATATTCTAGAGATGTTATAGAATTTAATAAGACAAAAAATTTGTTAGATTTTTTGAAACTGTGAAACCCATGTAACCCCTTAAATGCAGTCTCCGAAAAAGCCCGTAAGATAAGAATTGTTTTTTCTTATAAAGAGTATAGTTAGAGACCTCAGTTCGTTGTTTTTTGATAGGATTTCGATTTTTTTGAATTATCGCTTGTAAGCTGTCATTTCTCATAAGCTAAGCTTATAAACTTTAATACACAAATTATTTCTTTATATACATTTTTTTTTATTTCTTCATAGATTAAGTAGTTTATAATCTGCTATTAACAGCGTTCGATCCATACATTTCCATTCACAACCATTAGTATAACTGTAATATCGAAGCAGCTCAGTGGTATTTTGGCTATTGAACACTTTGAAAACCCTTCACTTTGAGATATTTTCCACATTGTTATTCAATATATTAACTTTGAGTGAATTTTCCAATTTCATGGAACATTTTCTAGCCATAATCGATGTTGGCCGACGCATAAAAGGCGAATAAAGCTGCAAACAGCGCGACTGTTGCAAAGTTTACGGCTTAACCGTTTGTATTATGTTGCCAGCAATGCAAAGCTTATGAATGCATTTCTGCGCGTATATTTTTTTTCAACATTTTCACTACGCCAATTTTATTGCGCGTTATTATGTTTTTTTTTATCAGCAAACTGCAGATAATTTGCAACATTAAGCGCTGATTATTCGCCACATTTTTCTCTTAGTTTCCTTCTACTTAACATCTATTTTGCGCGCTGCTGTGTATATGCTTATACCTTATGTATGTACATATATCTTCCGTTACTTTTTTTGTTGCTGCGCTCATTACAATTTATTTCCAATTCACCTGCAGTTGATTTTCACTGATTTTCCTGGAGCATCCTTCAGTTTTGCTGCTTTTAATTAGCGCTTGCCGTAGCCTCGCATTGCATTCATTTTGCCTCGCGCAATTTCTATTTCAGAACTTTTTCATATATACTATACATTGGCGCCCCACCGCGCGCAACAATTCACGCTTTTCAGCGTGGTAGTCGGCAGTCGGCACTCGACATTCGCCATTCAATTTGCCTCGTTTAAATGTGAAAAGTAGTAAGAAAATATCTGCCAAAGCCATGCAAATTTTCTACACCATTTTATTTTTATGTTTGACAGCAATACATATGCACGCATACATATACGAAGCTACGTAGTATGCATTCGATTTTATTTACAAGTGGCTTTCACTACGTTGCAACCCTGCGTTTTGCAATTGCATTCACTTTACCGACGTTCCCATTCCATTGAAGCGCGCAAGCATCGCATTGCGGTGTAAATATGCATGAAAATGTATCACTGTGCGGCTTGTTGTTGCTGTTGTTATTATTATTGTATACTGTTGCATTTTTTATTGTGCAGCACATATAATTGCATGCTTGTTGGTTGTTTTCCAGTTGGCTACATTTTGTATCTTTTCCATTTTAGAAGTGCATTTTTACAAAACCATTTTTTTTTTTTCAAAGAAAAAGGTATTCATACATAACATGCCATATACACCTATTCAACAATTTCATGTACAATTATGTATAATATTCCTATAAGTAAAAAATATACACAAGCCTCATAGAACCTCGTAGTGGGCTGCAGTAATGCCGACGCGGTAGGCGGATATCGTAAATGTTGGTGCTTCCGTAGTCCATTACATTTCCATATCTAACCCAACCTTTTGGTTGACTTAAATGATACTTTTACAGAGAATAACTAGAATCAGTGTGTGGAAAGGTGTGAGAATTTGACGCGAGTTTGGTTTCCACCTTTGAAAACGCAACATCCTTCACTCAGCTTCAATCAGTCTAGAAACCTTAATAAGAGCTTTCGAAAAAGTATATGTAAAAACCCTGGTTTGGCAGATTTTCATTATGATACAGTTAAAGTTAATAAATTTAGAGTTAATCCATTAAATTTTAGTATATCCAAACTTTTTTTTGGAACGTCCACCAGTAGAACTGCCAGTCAAAGCTATTGTCGAACCAATCACACTCTGAAAATGGAGGAAGATACTAATAAAGAGAATACTTCCACTTAAAAAATCTTTCGCCAGACTCATTTGAAAATTAACATAGTGGTAGATTTGTGCATCTGCTTAACGCATAGTGTCATTGAAGTCTTAATAACAGGAAACAACCATTTTACTCTATCAGCAGTCATAATAAAGAAGTAGCTTTGTGACTTTGGAAGTTCCACGTGTTAGTAAGACTTAATGAACAAATAACACGAAATAACCATGGCTAATGTATTACCTATCGTTTCTACATATGAAACTTCCATTGTAAACCTTGAACGCCTTGAAAACTACAGGTAGCGAAAGATGGCTTGAATACCATGCTTGGGAAATAATATCAAGCTAGATCGAAAAGTTTACTCATATCTAAAAATCTCTAAAAATCCAATGTTGCTGACTTTCCGAAGGACTTTTTAAGGTTATTTAGACTTCCAAAGATCGACAGAAAGAGAACTAAGATTCACACTGAAGCATGACAAACAAACAGACATATTCTAGTCACTTTTTCGGGATCCTCTCTAAGTTCTCTTGTACCAACATGACGATTTTCTGTGCTCCGAGCTTCTGTTAGACTTATTAGACTGTACATTTAGAAATTATAAGCATGAACTTATAGTAATTAATATATTTATTTCATATGTACCGTACAGGCTTTGACATATTTGAGAACTAATCTACGGTTCCAGTCGATTAGAATCGCCGCCAAGGTGGTCAGTGCTCTCAATTCTCCATATAAATAACAAGTAGGTTGCCTAGAATGTTGTCATGTCTGTTCTCAGAAGTAGTTGGTAGTGATGTGTAAGCGGGCAGAACCCACCTCCCGGGCTCCACTTGAATAATTCAGAAATTCTAAGCATGAGCTTATGGCATTAATATATTTATTTCATATAGATCGTACAGATTTTCATAACTTTGAGAACTAATCTACCGATCCAGTCGATTAGAACCGGCACCAAGATGGTCCGTGTTCCCAAGCTTCTCTATAGATAAAAAGTAGATTGCCTAGAATGTTGTCATCTCAGTTCTCAGCAATAGTAAAGTAAAGAGGCGGGCAGAACCAAGTTCCATGAGATTTTGTTTCAACCTAAGACCTCGTTATTGCCACGAAAATCAATCAATTTACCTCAAAACTTCCAAAATCGCAAAGAATTTTATTTCAAGAGCTCAACTTGGTCTACTGTAAAGGCTTTACGCCTCTTCAATTTTGTGAAAAAGAGGTTAAAACCGGCTCAAAAGTTTAACAGCAGAAATATTCTGCGTGATAAGAACAGTTAAAAAATTTTCTCTTCGATAGAGGGCTTTGAATATCACAATATATTTTTATACGTTCTCTAACTCGCGCATATGTAAAGACCACTTTTTTCGCCTGCACTCACAAGTGGCAGAAGACTGTAAGGTATTTCTCACAGTTCAACACTCAACTCAGACCAACGCCGCTTCACTTGAGTGCCGCAACCACAGAAGCTGTGGAACTTTTAATGAAAAACGTAAAACCGCAAATAACCAACTCAAAACGCTTTTGTTTTTGTAATCCTTTGTGGTGCATGTAACAACTTTTTATGGTTGAAATAATTTTTTAATCGGAATAAGGTGCATACAAAAGATTCAGCGAGAAGTGTGTCTGGTGGTGAGGGAGAGGAGAAAAATTTTAGCTTGTGCATTTACCAATCAAATGGTAACACCAACCATTTTATGGTAGGAAAGGAAAAGTTATAGAATATCTCCTTGGTGGAACAAATAACCACAAAGGGTATAAAGGGTGTGTAAGGGCGCGTTTAGTTTCTGGACGTATCATAGTTAATAATGAACACGTATTTTTTACATACCTTGTGGATGTCTTCTTTTTTCTATAAACTTATGGCTTCAATAGAGACCTTCTTGGCAGATAAGTCTCCATGCGTCTTCGAGATGTTAAATTTTGTTGAAAGGTTGCACCCATTCTGAGCACTAAATCAGCATAACTGGAGTCGTCTCATCGAGTTTGGAGCGTAAACAATTTCTTTAAATTTTATTTTTGCATTTAAAGCAATTTTCAGTTTCTTCAATTCAATTCATCAGTTTAAGCTAAGTTCCACACCATCAGTTTTAAAGCGTTTCTATACTTTTCAAAGATCTTCAAGTTTTACCTATTCTAAGCACTAAATTAGAATGTCTTGAGGCGCCTTACTGATGTTTGAGCTAAATTTTGGTTTTTACTTTGGGTTATCGAATTTTAATCCAATTTTCATTCAACGTCAGCCAGTTGTCAAAATGGCAGTAAGTTTCGACTAAGTTTCACACCATCAATTTCAGAGTGTTACTAAACTCTTCAAATTACCTATAAATACCCATATCACTAATAAAATTAATACACCATTCGTTTAGGTGATGTTTTTATTATTTTTATTCTATCAATAACAGCAATTAAATTTATTTTTTCTTATACTAATTTTTATTACTTTCACATTACATCAACTTCTAATCGAACCATACGCTTTTGTGCACAGTAATCTTAATTTCCGTTGCTTTAAAATTAATTTCGCATAAATATATTTCTTCATTGCACAGTAACTTAAAGTGAATAACACATATTTACAATTTAATTAAAGCAAAAAACGAAAAAATACAAAAAATTCGCTTAGCTAAATTAAATTTACACTAATTGCGTCGGCTGGTTTACAGCGGGCAGCCGTGCACGTAGCCAACGTTACGAAAGATCGCCGCCGCTGCTGCTGAAGTAAGAAAATTGCACGGATTCGTTGAGCTAAAGGTCGACAAGCCCGTCGGGCAGCAGCCCAGCGTTGCGCCGGAAGCGCCATCGCTAACAAACTCTTTTTCCAACGTCGCCTGATGGCGCAGCTGTTCGAGACGCAACTGATTTTGACGCTTCCACTTCGTGCTGTTGACAGAAAGTACACAATGAAGAACAGAGAGAAATTGAGAGATTTTTATAATAAACAAATAAAAGCAATGAAAATAACAAAACGCGAGGCCGGTGACTTACCGTCTATTCTGATACCAAGTTTTCACTTGCGTTTCCGACAAATTGAGCGTCTCTGCCACATCGCTGCGATCGGCCACTGATAAATATTTCTGACAACGGAATTTGCGTTCGAGATAGGCGAGTTGCGCGTGTGTGAAGGCAGTGCGTCTTCTGCGTGGCTTGCGTCCACTCTTGTTCAAATTTAAGCCCAGCTTGCTGTGATGCATATGATCACCGCCGCCAATACCACTTCCACCATAGCCGTGTGTTTGCATGTGTCCAGTTTGTATTTCTAATTGATTATTTGTGTTTGATGTCGCATTGCCGTTGGGGTTACTGTTCGTGTTGCGATGAGCGCCGCGCTCATCCGCATTTGGTGAATGCTGATTTGACTCCACGCTGGACTCGTTGACCATAAAGTGTAATTGCGCACTGCTATTGGCCGCCGTTCCATAGTGATGGCTGTGCAGCATATCCGAATCGGGTGAGGAACGATCCTCGATGTCAATTTCTGAGTTCTCATCGGACAAATCGGAGTCTGTAAGGACAAAATAGATTATAGGAATTTGTTGATATTTGAAACACTTTTCTTAAAGGTAACACTTTAGTTTGCTGAAATATTATAAGGATAATGACTAGAAAATATGAATATTTTGATTTGGAACTTTTTAAATGCGAGCTTGACTCGGCATACTTATGTATGGCAGTCGCACCAAATTTTATAAAATTTGGAGAAACGCGACAACTTTAATCAAGTAAGTCGTAAGAAGCCTTTCCAGCTTTTCTTATTATTAAACTGGTCGTTGACCAGAGTTATTAAGGCATTGGCTGCATATGTAAGACTTTGAACTACAACTCTGTGCGGATGAGCTAAGTCCACCAAGGACTACAGCTTGGAGAATCGTTGACAGTCTACGTCCTTACGTTAGCTGTGAATACCTAATAAGTAACCCCTCCCAAGATCAAAAGCGATAGGTGATGAATTTACGGTGATAGCGTGAAAAGATACCAAGTTTTAGGGACCTTCAACAAATTCTAAATTCCCGAAAATATTTACAAATTTACAAGTGGAGCTTTCATGGAGCTGCAGCTATTTTTTGTTGAGGTTTTGGAAAACTAAGCTAGCGGAATGGGTGTAGATCGTATTAATTGGCATTCCGCGTCGCTAGTAGAAGGACTTTTACTACATTCACAATTTTTTTTTTATTTAAACTCAATACAAATTTTATACATTTAAGCAGAGAAGCAACTACGAATTGAAAGGAAGTCAAATTTCGTGTGCAAACACAGCAGTTGCTGCCGACATTGGTGCCAGGCAGCGCTGTGACGACAACCGCTACTTTGCTCATTAGTATCCCGTTGTGTTGCTCGTGTAAACGCTTAACCGCCCAAGCAGAGTGCAGCAACGTTCGTCCGTATAAAAATAGCGCACATGCGGCTAGTAATATGAATATGCTTTTCCTTCGGTAGACGCCTACGCAAATAAAGTCAACATATAAACAAACATATTTATATATTAGAAGATTCTGATGTCCTTTTCACGGGGGGACCAAAAGCTCCGTCAGGATCGGAAAGGACCTCTCCGATACCAAACGAGGTTTCAGGTGAGACGACGCTCTGTCGTGCGACTTTTTCAATCTAGTATACTCAAGCTCTGGGAGTATACGACGCATTCCCCGCCGGAGGAAGAGCTCCACTCCGTTGGAAAGACCAGGTGGAGAAGGACCTGCCGACAATTGGCATCTACAAGCAGCGCGCTGTTGTAAAATCGGCTATAACCGCATAAGTGGTGTCTACGCCAATAAAGAAGAAGAATTCATTATTTTTCCAATAGAGTACTTAAGTAATCTGTATATCGCGTTGTATAAGTGCGATCGGGTAATGCTACGAGGCGTTAGAAGGATAATATATCATCGAAGCGGTTTTAGTTTTAGCTTTTCCCTATGATCAAATTCAGCAGCGGATAGCTTTGCCCAATAACAGACAAGATTTCTATACCACCTGGACAACGTAAGGCCACAGACATCGACAGTAACTCGCCAGAAGCGCTGGGAGCTTAGTTTAGAGCTTATTATGCATCTACCTATTAGTACGGGCTCTGCATCAATTGTTTACTACCGGTTCCTGTCTATGGCGATGCGATTTTGCTGATGAAAAATTCGCCTCATGAAAAGTTTGTGCAAATCGACTATCTCATACTTTTGTCAATGGACGGGTGTTAAGTGCGGAAGTTTTCGGTACTATCATACTATAATATCTAGTGTGTAAAAGTGCGCTCCTGGATTAAGCTGTTTTCCTACATTTTGCGAATAATTCGTGTTTTTACAAATTTTTTTGAAGTGAACGAACGCACTTAAGCTGCTACATCCCACCTACCAAAGCCTGCACATTTGGCTTTGCGCACTTTGGCCCACAAAACAATGCGAAAAGCAAGCAATAAAAAACTTAGATCGAAGAATCCATTAGGCAACACTTGAAGTAACTAGACGAGCTCGTGCTCTGCCACTTATGTCTACATGTATTTATAAATTGGTGCATCTCAGCCTTTTAACCTCTTTACATTGACTTTGACTGCCTCAATTTGTGCACCAAAAAAAAAAAAACCTCGCAAAAAAAGTTATACACGTATAAAAAGCAGCAGCATTTTATTTATATCCGCCGGAGATATGTGTATATCCTGTGGATGTAACCCTAAAACCTAAACATAGACACTCATTCATGCCCGCGCTGATAGACATGTATGTGTATGGTAAGTGGACATGTGTACATGTACTCGTCGTCGAAGTATATCTACTGCGCCACTCACCACACCGCAGGCTGATTATATTCACGTGCCGTCTTGATAGTCAATTCAATTGTTGCTTCCTGCTGGAATTTTTTCGCTAAAAGCGTTTTTCGTTTGAAGCCACTCGTACGTATTCATTCTAATTTTACCGAAGTCAAGCAGCCAGCCAGAGTGAAGGCAGGCAACTTGCGCTGGCAAAGAAATGCGTAGGCTATCACGTGTGTCTGCCGCGCAGCAGGACAGCTAAGCTATATACATACATATGCTTATTGCTGGAAAGCTTGCGTATATAGTTAAATATGTGTGTGTAAGCATTTTACTATAGACTCGATAAGTTTCATTTTAACCCCTATTTACAAGTTACATAGATTTGAATGTGTTTACTTTGGGTTATCTCACCTTTGATTTTTTTGAAAAAAACTTGCATGATGCGTTCCAAGACACATATGTTTTATGTACTTATTGGTATAGCTATACATATTTACATTAATAGACCTCATCGGACTCTAATTTGAAAAATGTTTTAACTTGGTTTGAAATATTTTTTATTGCAGATTTACTTCGGAAAACTTCGTAAGCGCATTAATGAAAAAATTCGAAGCAGAAATGTGCAGCAGAAAAAACTGCAGACTTGGTAAGTAATAAAATAATTTCTTTTAATAAATTTGTTTCGATTAAGTCGAAAAGTCATAGTAAGGAAAAACAAAATTCCGTGAGCGTTTTCCCAAATTCAGAAGTGATATAATGAAAAGTAATAAATTTTGCCTTATAATGCATTAATTTGGCAGAATGGGTCGATTTTGTCTTAGAATCGTTCCTAAAAGTGTTAATAACTGCTTGATGCCATAGCAAGAGTTAAAGAACTGAGGAATAAATTCAGAAATTTGTCTAAATCGTAACGACAGTGATTACAAAGGATCTATAACAAAAAATAATTTGGTCAAATTTAAAAGAAGATTACCTTCATTAGATTAGATTTTTCTGTTTGCTTTAGAGTATAATTATGTTAAATTTCTGATCCCTCAAGATTGCGGAAATTACACTTAGATGTTCTGTAGAATTCTTTGTGAAGTTAGACAAAAACAAGAAAAAACGTTAACTTCAGTTGCACCGAAGCTAAATACCCTTCACAGGTGCATTTCTGTTAGTAATTATGTGTTCAGTTTGTATGGAAGCTATATGCTATAGTAATCCGATCTGAAATTTTTTTTCGGAGATTATATTATTACCTTAAACAGTAATCCAAGTCAAATTTCGTGAAGATACCACATCAAATGTGAAAGTTTTCCATACATGAACTTGATTCCGATTGTTCGGTTTATATGGCAGCTATACGTTATAGTTAACCGATCTGAATAATTCCTTCCGATATTACATTATTTTTATGAAAAATAACTCTTACCAAATTTCGTGAAGATACATCGTCAAATGAGGAAGTTTCTCATGCAAGCATTTGATTCCGATCATTCAGTTTGTATGGCAGCTATATGTTATAGTTAACCGATCTGAACAATTTTTTCCGAGATTACATTATTGTCTTAGAAAATAATCTATACCAAATTTCGCGAATATACCTTATTAAATGCAAAAGTTTTCCATACCAGCACTAGATTCCGATCGTTCAGTTTGTATGGCAGCTGTATGTTATAGTTAACCGATCTGAACAATTTTTTCCAACAATTTCTTCGGAGATTATATTGTTGCCATAGAAAATAACTTTTGCCAACTTTCGTGAAGATACATTGTCAAATGTGAAAGTTTTCCATACAAGAACTTGATTCCGATCGTTCAGTTTATATGGCAGCTATATGTTATAGTGGTTCGATATCGGCAGTTGCGACAAATGAGTAGCTTCTTGAAGAGAAAATGGTRTTKGBAAAAWTTCAAAACGATATCTTAAAAACTGAGGGACTAGTTCGTATATATACAGACAGACGGACAGACGGATAGTCATGGCTAAATCGAATCAGCTCAACATAATGATCATTTATTGGTGACAAAATTGATATACCCTGTTCAGGGTATAAAAAAATCTGCTCTAGTTGGTTATCAGCCATTAGTTAAGCGCCTTGAACCTATCACATCTATATAGTTGCTTTTTTATGTCTAAAAGTATGAGATCCGAAGTGTTTTGGCCTTCCTCTGGCAAAGATATTCGTTGAGATGGTTCTATCTCATATTTTTCCAAACAGCTGATGTTATTGGTATCCAGTGTCCAATCCAGTGTCCAGTAAGAACTCATACAACTATTTGAAGTAGCATTTAACTAAGAGACAAGAGTTCGTAAGACTTCTTACGATTTATCCTGGGTCAAAAGTACCATGCGACCGCGCAGCTCTTTGTAGTTGACCAACGCTCTCTGAGCTGGTCTGAGGCCCTACAATGCTGTAGTGAGCCGCAAGAATGATGAGTAAGACCGAAGTACCTCATCAGCCTTACAGTTTCCTGCAATGATTGCAGGATATATTATTGCCTTATAATATTCCTACAGGGTGTTACACATATGTGCGTGGTTTTTTATTTATCCTTATTTTATTACCATTAAGCTTAATATGGCTTGGTTAACATGTCTTCAAATGAACATACTTCAGATTTTTCGATTTTGATTGTCATAATTTGAACAAAAAGTCACGTTACAGCACTAAACAAGCAATTACATATCAATAGTAAGCAAAACAAGTAAGGAAGGGCTAAGTTCGGGTGTCACCGAACAGTTTATACTCTCGCATGATAAAATGATAATCGAGATTTCA